CGAGACAGGGTCTCTATGTAGCTAACATAGTAGCGTTGACGTGAGTGACACGTGGTGTTTCACCGCTATGCAGAACGAATGCGAAGTAACCTGATAAGCGGTGGAAGCGTTCTACCGGGGCAGCGAACTAGTGAGACTCCATGACGGTCCAACCATGATTTAGTTAGTGTACCTAGGCGGCAAACAGGACACAGACAGATTGCGAGTGCGCGGTTATGTCAACAGGTGCAAGAGATGTACTGTTTCGGCGTCCACGGGAGCCGAGAATTCGCACTCGCATGGTTGAACAAGGGACGAAGATGCCAGTAAGAGGTCGGATCGAGGGACCAAGGAAACAGGGTAACATGCATCTTCCTGTACGGGGCTGAGGGCTGAAAGAAAGGTTGAGGTACCCATCTGAATCACGCGTGCACGTCCTCAACAAACCTCGGCATGGGAATATTTGCCTCTGAGAAAAACCCTTAATTGCACCAAACATAAAATTGCGGTTTCCGGCACAGCTCCTCCCTTCGCTGAATCGCCATCACCATCACCATCAACCTTGACAACGACCATCCACACAATGGCGGAAGAGCTCGACGCTCTCATCCTCGGGGCGGGCATCTCCGGCATCAATGCCGCATACCGTGTGCGAACCGAGCTACCAGACACCACCTTCGCGGTGCTGGAGGCGCGTGACGTCGTCGGCGGGACATGGTCTTACTGGAAATATCCCGGATTCCGCTCCGACTCCAACATGACAAACTTTGGCTTCGGCTGGCACCCCTGGCCCCACGACAAGAAGATCATCGAAGGCGGGCCCATTGCCGCGTACATCGAAGACGCGGTCAAGACGCATCACCTCGACGAGCATATCCGGTTCCAACACAAGGTCTCAGCGGCGAGCTGGAACAGCGACGAGGCGCGATGGACACTCGAGTGCGCAACGCCCCAGGGGAACAAGAAGTTTAGGGCCAAATACCTCTTCGTCTGCTCGGGGTACTACTCGTACGACAAGGCGCTTGAGACACACATTCCCGGCATCGACAAGTTCGAGGGCCAGACAATTCACCCCCAATGGTGGCCCAAAGACCTCGACTATGCTGGAAAACGCGTCATCATCATTGGCTCTGGCGCCACAACTATGACGCTATTCCCCAACATGGCCAAAACCGCCGGACACACGACGATTCTACAGCGCAGTCCATCCTACGTCTTTGCCTTGGCAGCGGAGTCTGTAGTGGACAAGACAGCCAAGAAGTTCCTCCCGCTATTCTTGGCCAACTGGTTCATTCTTTTGAAGGACCTTCTGCTGGAGACGGTCTTCGTCCAGATCGTCCTCCGCTTCCCCACCATGGCCAAGAAGTTACTCAGATCCGAAGCCCAACGCCGGCTGCCCAAAGATTACCCGGTTGACGTTCACTTCAAGCCCAAATACAACCCCTTTGAGCAACGTCTCAACATGTGTCCCGAGGGAGATGTCTTCAAGGCTCTTCATCAGCCCAACACAGAAATTGTTACGGACCACATCGAGACCGTCACGAAGGATGGCATTCTCACAAAATCTGGACGTCACCTACCTGCCGACATCATCGTCACTGCGACGGGCCTGCACGTTGAGCTGTTGGGCGGCACCGACGTGACAGTCGATGGCGTTCCAGTCAAGGTCGGCGAGAAGTACTGCTGGCGCGGGTGCATGCTTGACGGAGTACCCAATGCGGCGGCCATCATTGGCTACGTCACGCAAACCTGGACACCCGGCGCCGACACCGTGTCGCGACTATTCATCCGCGTCATCAAGGAGATGGAGAAGACCGGTGCCATATCCGCCAAGCCTATTTTGTCGGAGGAGGAGAAGCGATCCTCACCCAGGTTGCCATGTGTTGACGCTACATCCAACTACTTCAAACGGGCGCATGGCCGGATGCCGGTCGTAACAAACCAGGGTCCTTGGTACGGGAGGAAGAACCTTATTGTGGATAAGTTAGCGCTCTGGTTCGGGAGTGTGACGGTGGGCATGGAATATCGCCTACCAACCAAACCGAAGGATATGTGATGACGACAACGACGACGACGACGACGACGACGACTGTGTGTAGAATAATTGAAATGGCTTGGCAAGATTACCTTATCCTGTAAATGTTTACCTGATTACGTCTAGTGGTTGGTAGCAGCGTTTAGGAAAAGCGACGACTTGCGGCCACGCAGATCCATCCTGGCTATGGAATGAAGCAGCTGGTGCAACAAGCTAGAGTGAATCCCAGACGCAAATCGAAACGGGAGGGCCGGATCGCGCCAGAAACGCCCTCATTGAGACGTATCAGGAAGCTTTTGCTCCTCTGTTTCTCACCAAGGACCTTGGTGATCGACCAAATCCAAGCAGCACCCCGGACCCCCCGACGATGGGAGCTTGATCAAGCTCCATCGACTGGATACCCGATGTCTCCAGGCCCAGTGCAACCTTCTTGAAGCACGCAAACAGGAAAGACGAGCTCTGCCATCCCCACAGCCGCCGTCCGAGCACTGACTGCGTGGACGACTAGACATGAGCCTCTTCGCACGGCACCTTGAACTCCTGACAAGTATCGCTTCACCCGAACTTTCGTCCCACTCCGACCCATGCATGCTCCGTGTGGGGAAACACCGTTTTACTGGTCAGTCTTGGACACCTCGAACGAACTTGGCTCGGCTCCCAACTACCGACCAAACCGTGGCCCCTTGTGCATGGCCTCCCAAGGCGAGTAAAGCATGCGATTCGCCCGATGTCCGAAACATGCCCACGATGCTCCTGACATCAAACACCCCCCCTGAGCGATAGCCTTTTTGCCCAAAATCGTTCGTGCAAGCGAGGCAAAGGCCGCGTGTTGTGACAGCAATAGAGCTTGCGTTGACAAGAGGCGTCAGTGACTTGTCAAGTTGCCATTCGATTTCTACCCATCCGGCTCTGCGGCATCGGGCGCACGTGGACAGACCCTCCGATCGTGCCAGAGGAGGTTGAATGCACAGGATCGTTCGCGCCCCTGTTGGTCGCGGGAGTTGAAATACCCAGGCTTGCCCTTCCTCGATTCATTGACTCTTGTTCAAACAACGACTTCGTCCATTGCAATACCCAGTTCATTTCTTACCAGCAACTTGAATTCTCCCATTGCAGAGCTGTGCTCTTTTCGGATCAACCTCCAGTTTAAATCATTTAATATTCAACCAAGCCACTACCGTCAACATGCGTTTCACTCTTGCACTCACTACCCTGGTCGCCGTGGCCATGGCTGCGCCCCTCACCAACATCGTCGCCCGCAAGGACGAGCTTACCGCTGCTATCGCCGCTCTCGCTGAGGAGAACCCCGCAGATGCTGATGCGGCAAAGAGCCTCCTGGATCGTGATCTTCAACTCACCCAGGACGAGGTATCCAAGCGTGAAATCACCACTGCCCAGGCAGCAGACGAAGAGGAAGAGGAGGAGGAGGAGGAGGAAGACGTGACCAAGCGCGATACCGCCACTACTGAGGCGGCGGACGAGGAGGAGGAGGAAGAGGAAGACGAGGAAGTGGCCAAGCGTGACACCGCCACTACCGAGGCCGCAGACGAGGAGGAGGAGGACGACGAAGAGGTAACAAAGCGTGACACTAACACTACTGAGACGGCGGACGAGGAGGAGGAGGAGGAAGAGGACGAGGAGTAAACGTTCAGAAAACTCTCGGGAGGCATTTCGTCAGACAAGTTGGCAAGATTAAAATCACGCAGCATTTGGTGGTATTCCAATAGCAGACGTTGTTAGCGACAGCATAGCTAGACAATCAAATTGTGCATTTTCAAATACATTCACCCCCGGTATACGAAATTGCGTAGGTGCATAAAGTTGTGACGAGCTACGTGGTGTTCCTGTAAGCCGGATGGCTTAGGGCCCGATACTTTAGCAAAGGCTCCAAAGCAACATTGCCGGTCCAAAGGGGTCTGCATTCGATAATTACGTTGTAGGAGCATTTCTTGTTTTTTCCCTTCCTTTTCTTTTGTGGCGTTGCCGAGGTGACTACAGCTAACAAGATGTCAACGAGAGTCGCCCAAGAGAGCGGGAATTGAATTATGATTAGCTTGTGAAGAGCGACCTTGCCCAGCTTCGTTGCAGAATCAAGCATGAGTCTTCATCTTGTCGCCGCTTAGACATGGATCTCCCCCCCAATAGTGGAGTTTTCCGATTCAAAGCCCCAAAAGAACGGATGATTATTTACCTGTTCAATATCTTGTGAGCAACAATTCAGAAGGCCAGAGTGAAGTGGAACATTTCCCTCGGACGTTGGAGGGACTTTGGGTCATGTCGACAGTACACGGTGAGTTTATGTTAGCGAAGCAGGTCTCTATTGAACGCCAATCATGTCCACACACCGCCACATCTGGCAGTTGGATGGTAATTCTTTGACGCAAAGAGGGCTTGCGGATGAGCAAGACCCTGTCGACCAACGGCGTCAGCTCTAGTAGGGCCGGGACCCGATATTCGAGGCTCGACCGATCTGATGATGATTGAAGGCGGCTGTCCAAGAAGGCGGTTGAAAGTTAACTACGAATTAAAGCGCGTCAAGGCAACCACTCTGGCATTCGTCGTCTTAACCGAGGCTGGTATGGTTCTTTATTGAGGGGCTCTGCAGTCGAGGTGATCTGACATTGAAATAGACAGACATGTCACAAGAACGGCGCTATGAAAGACGGCCGTTAACTAATGCCTCGTACATCTCCCGACAGCATGACAGAAAAGTCCATGGTCAACACGGTCCCTCCTATCGCTCCAGGGATTGAACACGGGGGACACAATGCATGTTGAAGGCTTTAAATCAAACTGAATCGACGTTGCACGCTTTGAGCTTACATCGTCGGCCCTGCGTGTCCCACACGGTCAGCGTGGATGAGAATTCTGCTCTAACCCCACCCTCGCTTCACGATGCTCTCCACACATCATCAACCGTTCGGCATCCCCACGCTGCCAGACCTTCAAGTTGCCTCTTTTTCTCCACCGAGTCATCAAACAACATGGTCTGGTGGTGTAGTTGGTTATCACGTCAGTCTAACAGCTCGTCTCTCGTCTGGTTCACTGAAGGTCTCCGGTTCAAGTCCGGGCTAGATCATCTCACATGGGCGATTGGTTTAGTGGTATAATGACCGCTTAGCATGCGGTAGGTCCAGGGTTCGATTCCCTGATCGTCCATCTTTTTGCCTTTTGTTACTGAAAGCAGCAAGCAAGCAAGACAGGGATCGGTGGGTGTGGGTTTTGTCCCGGTTCCGGATGAGGATAATAGATAAAGTCATACATGGGGAAAGCCTCCTAGCAGGTGTCTTTTGTTGGATTCCACGAGGCCTTTTATGGCACGTTACTTTTGCGCTGAATGTCGCAATCCCATTCGTATCTACTGCCATCTAGATTTACTGCCTTCCAGGCACATCGAGGCCTAGTTGAAGTGACGGTATCGGGTTTCGCACCGATTGTAACTTGAAATGTTGAGCAACGAAAGCACTGGTTACGACAACAATGTTTGATTTTATCAGTTATTTCCCATTGGCCGTACATCACATTCAAGGTGATGGCGGGTCTTCCAGCGAACTTGCGATTACTGCATCATATCGAATGCAGAACCGAGTGAATCAGCAATGTGTCATCCAAGGGAACATTCGAGGGAGATGGCCTCATGGATAGGGCGGCATTATCCAAGGTTCTGATGGGGACGCAGAATACAGAGCAATATAGGTGAGTAAATCAGTTTAAGCGGCCGTTGCCCAAGAATTACACCCCAGTCGCAGGGACTTGGGGTCATGGCCGCATGGACTGGCGTCGTTCTAGCGCAGTTCTTGATGCAACCTGGCATGTAACAGGTCCAGGGTTGGGACGAACTAGGGGGGGGGACGGTAGCATTAACAGTAGGGCGCCGTAGGTAGGTGAGCAACTCGTAGAAGAACGGTGATGAGCTGGGGCCCGAAAGAGTATACGGGGCGTCGAATGCGGTGAGATTGAGTGACCGGTGAGATTGTACGGCGTTTGCCGCAAGCAGCCATTCGACAGTCCGCATCGTCAACATGCATATGTGACATGGGAGATGGTGTGCCTGCTTGCCTAGCTAGCGTGAGATCATTCTGATTCGATCTGGAGTCGGGCCCCAGGCAGAGACAAAGCAACGGGGACAAAGACATTGAGCCAGAGAAACCCGACCCGGATTTCGGGGGGATCGGAGGGTGTGGCAGTCGTCGATGCTACGGCGATTAGAGTCTCACCACCTTATACAGGCGGGCCCCGCCACCCACCCTCTTGTACCATTCTGAAGTCTAGGTATCGATTGACTAGACTAATCTTAAGATGTCTTCGGTCAGCCCCATGAACTGCTGGCTGGCCCACCCGCCCGAAGAAGCCACTCAGCCTACAGGCTCGTGCCGTGTCGGGGTGAGGAAATGCCGAGGCGCCGTGTGTGCATCCCACCCTTCCCCTTCCTTTACCTGCTCAGCTTCACCTAGCGTTGCTTCTCAGTGGTAGGGTTCAGCTCGATTCAGGCCTGTCCCCGGCTTGCTCACCCTCTCCTTATTTCACCTAGTCTCCTCATGAGCCACGTTCGGTTCTTCAGAGTCTGGCCGTGGGCACCTGTCGGAACTTAAATGGCGTTTCCATCGATAAAGTGTTGCTGCCCCCCCCCCATAGGTGTCCTGCCATCTTTCGATCCATCCACGTTCGAACTTTACTGTTCGCCTTCCTCTGTCGTGCCAAGCCCACGGGCCCACGCTTGGTATTGTTTGTCTCGCGTTCTCCGGCACCGACGCTCTGGACCTGGGACACACACTCCAATCGAGTCTCGCTGATGTGCCTCATCTTACCCACTCGTTACCACACCGTCGGGTCCGCGAAAAGAAAATAGTGTCGGATTTGGACAGAGAAACCAACATCGACCAACAACTCAACAGGGGTGGAATACTGCGACGGGACAATACAATACGAAAAGGGAAAACAACTTTGAGAACAGGCAACGCCGGTGATTATTCTTACTCGGGACTGAGCGAGTTAACCTGGTAACCATCGAACGCGGGGACAATCCGGGGGGGGGCAAGGGGAAAAGCGACACCGCGAAAGCGAGCGAACGGAACGACAAGCAACCCGGACATGCACTATTGACAACAGCCGCTACTTGCCACTTTCCCTGCGTCTCTCTCCCTGGGGTCGCTGAACCGCCGAACCTCGTTTGCAGGCGAGACGATAGGGTTGGACAAGGGCAGCGACGAAGCAATTAATTCGAAGAGATGGCGGGGGTGCACTCCTCCTTCACAGAGGATGCCAGCGGATCCGAAACCGCATCGGGCCTGCTGCTGGCCAAGCTGGTCGGCTTGGCCGCTGCAATCGCGTTCCTCGTGTGGGAGTTTCGGTCGTGGTACCGGTTGCGAAAAATCCCCGGGCCTTTTGTTGCCTCTGTCTCAGTCTTGTGGCAGCTGAAGAAGGCCATCGGAGGCACATACCACGAGCATTTGAACGACGTTGCCAGGAAGTATGGTGAGTTTGACCGCGATACCTCCCCCACAGAGCCTGTGTATTCTCTTACTCCGTCAATGCCAACTCTGGTCTGAGTCCGTGAATGCGCTATGCATCATGTATTTCACGGGGGGAGGGAGAGAGACAGAGAAAGGACGCTAACCGTCCATCGATCATGGCTACAGGGCCCCTCGTACGAATCGGTCCAAATGAGCTGCTTTGCACAGACCCGGATACGCTGCGCAAAATGTCGGCCGTCCGGTCGCCGTATGTCAAGGGCGACTTTTACGATTCCGGCCGCATCACCCCGGGCGTCGACAATGTCGTCTCGATGCGGGATGAGGATCAACACAAAGCCATGAGGGCGCGGATGGCTCCGGCCGTAAGTCATTTACACTCTAGCTCCGGGCGCGGGGGGTTTCTCGTGGGGGGGAGAGAGAGCGCAGTTCCAAGAGAGTTTCGGTAGCTAACCCCCAGCGACAATATCATCAGTACGCTGCCAAAAAGAACGAAAGCTTCGGCTTCGAGACGGGCATCGACCGCCAGCTGATGAACTTCATCCGGCTCATAGACCAGCACTACGTGTCCACGGACTCGGATTTCCGACCCGTGGACCTCGCCGAGAAGACGCAGTTCTTCGCCCTCGACGCCATCGGCGACGTTTCCTTCGGCGGTGCTTTCGGGTTCCTCGCCGAGGACCGGGACCTGTTCCGTTACGGCGAGATCAACGAGTCGTCTCTCCCCGTGATGAACCTCGTGTCGGTGCTCCCCTGGCTGGGCCGGCTCGTCCACAAATGGCCTTTCCGTCTCATGCTGCCGAACGAGGGCGACCAAGTCGGCTTCGGCCGTTTGATGGGGTGAGTGATCCTCGACGCAGCTCTCGATGAAAGTGCGTCGGATTTGATGATGACCGCCGTGGACGACTGACACGACGGCGCAGCCTTGCCAAAAACTACGCGGAAATGAGGCTTCAACCGGGAGCGAAGCCGCAAAAGGACATGATGCAAGCCTTTATCGACGAGGGCCTGGACCGGGATGAGCTCATCCAGCTCGTGTACATCCACATGTAAGTCCCAAGCCAAACCCGTAGCGGCTCACGAGCCAGCCACTCATCCTGCCGTCATCCAGGATCGCCGGAACAAACTCGGCAGCGCAAGCCATGCGCATGACGCTGCTCTGCCTAATCAACAACCCCGTCGCGTACCGCCGGCTCCAGCAGGAGATTGACGACGCCGCCGCGGCCGGCGCCATCAGCGCCCCGATCACCAACGCCGAGGCCCTGAGGCTGCCCTACCTCCAGGCCGTCATCCGCGAGGGTCTGCGCTTCTACCCCCCCGTGACGGGTCTCGGCTTCAAGCAGGCGCCCGAGGGCGGCGACGTGCTCAACGGCCACTTCGTCCCCGGCGGCACGCAGGTGGGGCAAAACTTCTTCGGCGTCGGGCGCTCGCTGGGGGTCTGGGGCCCCGACGCCGACGTCTTCCGGCCGGAACGGTGGCTCGGCGCGGACAAGGATGAATTGAGAAGGATGAATGCCGCAGTCGACACGAGCTTCGGCCACGGCAAGTACTCGTGTCTTGGGAAACCGATCGCCATCATGGAGCTTAACAAGGTCTTCGTTGAGGTGAGTACATGCAAGCCTGGTCCTGGTTGCGGATGATCGGCAGCTAATGACGGACGCCCAGCTCTTGAGAAGATACGACTTCACCGTCATGAACCCGGAAAGGCCCATCAAAACACTCAGCGCCATTTTCTTCGTCGCAAGAGACTTTTGGGTCAGATTGACGAGGCGGCCGATCAATGCTTCGGTAGATTAGTTGTGCATATGCGGATACACTTGAGCGGCAATCTTTCGTCCTGCTTGTGCTCCCGTGTGCCCAGAAGAATACCCAGACACGGTGATGAAAGTGGCAAACAGATCTGTGAATGGTCTTGAAGCAACCGCGTAGCCATGAAAGCTCTTCACTTATGAGAGGTCTTCGGAATCTCTCATCCTGGAACATCTCAAGTCCGGAACACAACATGTGTAAATATCCACCAACAATAGCGGAAATTCTGGTCTAGTTCCTGGTCTAGGCCCAATGCAGAGGACGCATCCACCCGGACGATCGCGAGGTGTCACCGACGCCCGGATACGCTTCAGACCAGCGGGTCACAGAACCATAAGTCGGACTCCGTCTCGAAACCATTGGTCTGTGCGGTCTCGACACAGAGAAGCTCATCTCCGTTTGCATGGTTCGAAAGTTGGGCAATGCGGGAAAGCTTGCAGATGGCTCTGCCTGTGCTGTCCCGAGTCTTGTTCATTAGCCAGGCCGGCCAGCTTCACTCGTCTCCTAGGAACAGCAAACAAAAGAAGCCTATATCGACATTCAAACTCTGCCATCTTATCAGGTTCTCGCTTCTATGTCTGGTCTGCGGGTGTCTGCGGGCGCGGGTAGACGACGGCGTCGACGGCGTCAACGGCACTCTTGCGTCTTGTTCGGCAAGCCAGCCTTGTAACGAAAGACTCATTGTATCGCAGATGACAAGAATGCGCCGCATAGCAAACAGCGCGTATATATTTGGACTGGAGAGGTGATGTTGCAGAAGGCGAAGACCCCGACCGGCACTGTGCCCAGAAGGTGACTT